CTTGTGTTCTATGCACCTAGATAGTCTCTAGGGTTTAATGGATTATTAATTGAATTATGCATGCTTAGTATAGGCTAAATTGAATATCTGTATGTGTTGAATTATTTCAGTTACGATTCTTGCAAGTTTTGTTACAATGTTTGATTCTTAAGCATGTTAAATCGGTAAGGGTTCTAAGGTTCTTATTAATGCAAACTGGTTTAAATAATGGGACCGGGATGATACTGGATATATAGTAGACTGTTAAGACCATTAGAGACCTTTACATAGATGAACAGAATCATCGGAAGTTGCCGGAGATGAAGCAGAAGACGCGTAGTAGGCAAAGAGAAGGCTCTTTGATTTAAAAGAGAAGGCTCCATGCCTTAGGGAGCTTTCTCCCAAGTCTTGAGAGCAGGCTCTCTCATTTTGTGCGTTCTGTAGTTTATTTTTCAGAACTATTTGGGTGCTTAGCTCTTTTTAATTAGTTGTGGGACTTTGCAGAGGGTTTAATTATTGAACTTAAGTTGTTATTAAGACCTCTAAATGCCTGAGTGGTCCATTAAATTAATGGAGTTAGTAGTGTGAAATTTAAACAACTTCGCATGCTGTTACCGGTTGGAAAGGAAATTAATTGCTTAGCCTTAATTCAGCAATTTAATGAGTTGTAACATGATTTAAATCTTATTTTGGATGCATCGTAGGGTCTGTTATTTATTAAATTGTACCTATACATGCTGTGGACTTTGGTTGCTAAACTACTCTTTATAATTCTGTAGTTTACATGGTTTTGAACTGGATTAGACTTTGGGTTTTAATTGTTATAATATCACCTACTGTTCTGCAATTAATTGGATTTCGGTTTTGAACTGGATTATGGTTTTGGAATTTAATTGTTGAAATATTATATATTATTCTGCAATTAACTGGAGTATGATTTTAAACTGTAACTGCTGAAATATTTTACCCTATTCTGTAATTACCTGGATTATGGTTTGGAACTGGATTATGGATTTGGACTTAAGTTGTTGAACTGCTATCTAGGTTCTGTAATTTAAATGGATGTTGAGGATTGTATGCACCGGTATGGGACGGTGGCATACTAGGATGGTTTAGCTCAAAATGCTAAAACCTACCCTATTGGAATAAGGGAATGGATTATAAAACTTGAATCCTACTTATATTTAGGTCAACTCAACTGAGTAAGTTGAGTGACCACATGGATTAACAGTTGTTCGTAGTTAAGTCATATCAACTGAATAAGTTGAGTGATTAACTGGATTTTAAATTGTATGTCAACTCAATGAATAATTGAATGATATACTCTGATTTTGGACAGATTTTAGATATATGGTTATGGTACCACGAGATGAGCTTGAGTCTCAGGCTCGTTGGTTAGAGTGCGTATATGCAGTGGATGCGTAACTAGCTATGGTAGGTTGAGGTGTACCCTGTTAGGTCTAGATACTCATGCCCACCTTTGGGTGCTTTTTCGCATGTTGCCTTCTATTCAGGTTGAGACCCCTATTGTAGTCTAGTGAATGTCTCTTAGTGTGGATATATATATGTATAGACTAGATAAATATTGTGAGGTATCTAGGGTGTTTCTGTGTATCGGGTCACTGTATGGATTGTAGTTAGATTAGAACTTGTTCGTGGGCCTGACCCACTCTTTTATTCTTTTCAGGTACAGGACGGTTCTAGCCTTAGAGCTTGATCGTGCTTGTCGAGGACAGTCTCTTATTCATCTGCTTACGTAGGATTTCTCTCGATGTTCTAGTTTAGTTTTATTTTCGGTTATTTAGTTCAGTTAGGATTTTTATTTAGGGGTCCACTAGATGGATTCCCAAGTTGTACTCTTAAAGGTTTTAGAGAACTGGATTAACATTATTCACTATCGTTTGGAGGATTTTATATTTGTTATTTCTTTCAGCTTTATTCTATTTATTATTTCATTTTTATATTCTGTGTTCGGTTTAAAATACTTTAATTGTTTGATATTTCCCTTGGGTTTGGGCCTGGGCTTGATCAACTCGTGTCTCGGATCCAAGGGGTATCACAATGACTGCCACTTCTTCAAATCACTTTGAGATCCTCGCAATTCATGAAGCAGGTCGGGAATGTATTTGGTTGAGATTTATGATACAACATATTCGGGAATCGTGCGGACTCTATCCAATAATAGATAGCCCCACAATTTTATATGAAGACAAAATTGCTTGTATCACACATATAAGAGGAGGCTGTATCAAAAGTGATAAAACCAAACACATTTCACCAATGTTCTTCTCCGCACAGAAGTTCCAGAAGAGCCGTGACATTGATATTTAGTAGATACGATCCAGCGACAATCTATCAGATTTATTCACTAAAGCGCTTCCAGCTACAACATTCAAGAAGCTAGTGCATAATATTGGAATGCGTCACCTAAAGAATCTTCATTGTTGAACTAATGCAACAATGAGGGGGAGCAATTAATTGAAAAGATATTGGCATACTGTACTCTTTTATCTTCATTTAGGTTTTTTCCCACTAGATTTTCTTAGTAAGGTTTTAATATTGCAGTTTTAACCCATGCAATACACTTTTTCAGATACACAAGAATATTGTATTCTTTTTTCTTCGCTAGGGGTTTGTCCCACTAGGTTTTCCTTAGTAAGGTTTTAACGAGTCATATTCTTAGTGTAAACTAGTGGACCCCAAAGAAGGGTATTGTACATGTGGGATCCATGTGCCAAAAGCAAAAGCACTGATGTATAAATGTAATTGGAAATTAAGTGGACAAAATGGGTTGAATAGACATGTGTGCTTTCGTGTTTAAAATGTAATTAAAGTGTGAGCAATTAATCAGTTATCAGAACTTGGAAGTTACACAAACAAGGTCTTTATTTATGTATGCTTGTGTACAAGGTGAATTAATGAAAAGCAATTCAAAGCTCCTTTTTGTAATGACACTTCTGTTAGTAGTTCTCTCATATCTTTTTATATATATTTCTTTCTTTATATTAATAATAAAATATAAGGATAATTTTACTCACACCCCCTTAGGTATGGCCATTTTTCACCCTCAAATATGTTTTGAAAATAACTATTATTTAGGTTGATTTTTATTTTTCTGTTAAAGTCTCCATTAAAAGAATTAGAAAAGACAACTTTGCCCCTAATTTTTTAATCCCATTTATTACAAAAATATCAGATTGCTTAAATGACAATTATACTGCTACACCCACCTTACGTCAGTGCTCCGTCCAGCCTCGGCTGTGGCCCACCTCTCTTCGACTTCTTCTACAACTTTTCGGACAGTCCCGTACATTTCGTCCTCTTTATATCTCACCATTCACCATCTACCGTAGATACAAAAACCTATGTTTTTAGTTCGTTAGATTTTGAATTTTCTACAAAGGCTTCGGCGACTCTTTTTAACTCCTTCACCACACCATAGTCCAGACCCATTACTTTGTCCTCCTCCTTCACCACATAGAGTGATGGATCTTATCACTGGTTCGGTGTCGGCTGGATCGGTGGTGCTTGAAGCGGTGGTTGATGTTGTATATTTGTCAATGGCATTCGCCGGAGATGGTGGTTTTGTCCACCCTAGGAACTACATGCGAAAGCGCGTTGATTTATGAGTTATCAAACCTAGGTTCAAACCTATCGGAGTTGTCAAACGGCGAGGAAGAATAAGCGATGCCGAAACGACCGGGAAGAATAAATGGTGCCGAAGGATGTAACAGAAAGTAGTAGGTTTGTCAGTGTTGGTGGCTTTCGTGCCCGCCGCCGTCATCATGATGGATCGCTTGCCCTACCGTCGTCGTTTCTTGTACCGGCCCCACTACCGTCTCTTGCGCCGACACCCTTGTCGGTGTTGGTGGTGGTGTGTATAATATATATATATATATATACACACACGTGTATATATATATGTTTTATATATATAATTTGTAAATTTACAAAATTTTTAGAGATATTTTAGTCCTATAATATAATTATTTAGGCTAAATAGTTGTCTTGACAAAAAAAATAAAGGGTATTTAAGTCATTTTATATCATGTCATTGCTTATTTTTGAAAGATATTTGAGGGTGAAATATGACCAATGGGGTGTGAGTGAAATTAACACTAAGGCTATGTTTGATACGGTGGGTTTGAAGGGGGAGGATAACATTAGTTATGAGGGAAATGGAAGTGAATGATAATTTTAACCCCCTGTCGTATTTCGTTGATTAGTGAGAGAAAAGAAAGGAAAGGATAGTAATTATGTTTGGAAAAAAAAAAGGAAGGAAAGCATTTTTGTAAATTTACTATTATACCCTTTTATATTATAAAAATTAAAGTTATGGGCCTCATAATTTATAGGTCAGGGATGATGGGCCACCAGAAAAACAAATATATTTTTAGGGCAAATAATTTTAGCCTTCGCCTCCATCTTTATTCTCGTTCTTAACTCTAAACTTGCCTCTCTCTCGCGCTCACTTTCTCTGTGCAACTGCAAACTACAAAATCTACAAGAATCAGAAGTTCAAAACCCATATATTTCAGAACCAATAGTGAAGTAGTTAGGTCCGACGGTTTCCATGAGCGGTGAAGAGGTCTGGTCAGCCACAAAATTGAAATTAGCTCCATCCATGTACCTATTTGACATGTTTGATTCATCGCCGGATTGAACTTCGCCGCCCACTCGCCGTCACGCACGCATGCGAGTAGATTTAACACGTCTTTCATGTGCACACGCGCCTCTTCATCTCCGGTGACTGCAATTCTGTTCCAGCCTCTCCTTAATATAGTGAATTTTGGTGCCCTAGAATCAAGGGTAAATTTAGTATTACATTGCTCTCTCGTGCTCTGTCCTCCTCTTTCTTCCCATTTTTGGGAGGATTACAAAAGTCACTGTTGAGCCTATTTCTATTCCTCTAAAACCCTCCATTTCCTTTCCTTTCCTTTCCTTCCAACTTCCAATACCAAACACGTTTTTTTATCACCCTCCGTAACATTCTTTTCCTCCCATTTCCACTTTACCAAATTGAGCTAAAATATAATTGAAAAGGAAAAAGTAAGCAAATACGACTCCTTTGGGTTTCTCCATTTCCCATTCGGTCCAAACACTGGTAAGCTTTCTGTTGTCTGTCTGGTCTCTTCGACCTTGAAAAATCATCATTCAACGCAGTAAACCCTAATCCCATCGAATCGACTTGAAACATTTTTTTCCCTCTCTAAAAATGTGTCTCCATATAAGTCTCTCTTTATATATAATCGAGTTCTTCTGTCTACAATTTGTTCACACCCACTTGAATGAATAATTTCAACATGAACGCGAGTATTCTTCATAAAGGGAGTTGATACGGCATTATGTCCATCAGTAACTCAATCCGGATGCAGCGGCAGCAACTAATTTTACCATTACTTTCTTCAAGTCCATGTAAGTTTTCTCTCTCTCCTCCGACTGCACATCATCATTACTTTTCAGCTCTTACCATTCCATCCACAAAAACTTGTTCGGAGAAGAACGAACATGGGGATGTATGCCAGACCGAACCCCCTATTATTTCAGATAAGATATTCCAATCAGCTGCAAAATTGGGTTCTTACAGATTGGGCGATTCCACTTTTTATTCTCTGATTGAAAATTATGCCAACTCTGGCGACTTTAGGTCACTGGAGAAGGTTTTGGATCGGATGAAACGGGAACGGAGGGTATTCATAGAGAAGAATTTAATTACAGTGTTTAAAGCCTATGGGAAGGCACATTTCCCGGAAAAGGCGGTGGATTTGTTCTACAAAATGGTGGATGAGTTCCAATGTAAACAAACGGTTAGATCATTTAACTCAGTTCTTAATATAATTATTCAAGAGGGTCTTTATTATCGCGCTTTGGAGTTCCACTGCCATGTTGTAAATACTAAGAATATTTTGCCAAATGTGCTAACTTTCAATTTGATTATTAAAGCCATGTGTAAACTAGGGTTGATTGATAGAGCAGTAGAGGCATTTAGAGAGATGCCTCTTTGTAATTGCACTCCCGATGTTTTCACTTACTGTACATTGATGGATGGGCTGTGCAAGGAGAAAAGGATTGATGAAGCGGTGTCTCTGTTGGATGAGATGCAAATAGAGGGGTGCTTCCCTAGCCCCATGACATTTAATGTGCTGATTAATGGCCTCTGCAAGGAGGGTGACCTGGCTCGTGCTGCAAAGCTTGTGGACAATATGTTCCTAAAAGGATGTGTTCCAAATGAAGTGACCTATAACACCCTTATTCATGGTTTGTGTCTCAAAGGAAAATTGGACAAGGCAATTAGTCTTTTGGATAGGATGGTGCTAAATAAATGTGTTCCCAATGAAGTCACCTATGGTACAATCATCAATGGGCTTGTGAAGCAAGGAAGAGCTGTTGATGGTGCTCGTGTTCTAATCTCTATGGAGGAAAGAGGGCACCAAGCAAATGAATATGTATATTCATCACTTATTAGTGGGTTTTTCAAGGAGGGAAAATCAAAAGAGGGAATGAGAACGTGGGAAAAAATGCTAGAGAAGGGATGCAATCCCAATATTGTTGGTTTCAGTGCTCTTATTGATGGCCTGTGTCGAGAAGGAAAACCTGATGAAGCTAAGGAAATTCTGTCTGAGATGGTGAATCAAGGTTGCATTCCCAATGCTTTCACTTATAGCTCCTTGATGAGGGGTTTCTTCGAGATGGGGAATAGCTATAAAGCAATTATCTTGTGGAAAGAGATGGCGGATAACAATTGTATTCATAATGAGATATGTTATAGTGTACTCATTCATGGCCTATGCAAGGATGGGAAGCTTAAGGAGGCTATGATGGTATGGAAGCATATGTTGGCCAAAGGCTGGACGCCCGATGTTGTGGCTTATACTTCAATGATTCATGCCCTCTGCAATGCTGGGTCCATAGAATTGGGTTTGAAACTTTTCAACGAGATGCTCTATCAAGAGTCTGATTCTCAACCAGATGTAATAACTTTTAACATACTTTTCACTGCTTTGTGCAAACTGAATAGGATCTCCCATGCCATTGATCTTTTAAATCATATGTTGGATCGAGGTTGTGATCCTGATCTAGTTACATGTAACGTTTTCTTGAAAGCTTTGAAAGAGAAGCTAAACCCACCACAAGATGGGAGGGATTTTCTGGATGAGCTTGCAATACAACTATACAAGCGACAGAGAACAATAGGAGCTTCCAAAATTGTAGAAATGATGCTTCAGAAGTTTCTTCCTCCAAAAACCTCCACTTGGGAAAGAGTTGTTCGAGAACTTTGCAAGCCAAGGAAGATTCAAACAGCTATTTATAAGTGTTGGAACAACTTATTCTGCTGATTCATTAGGTGAGACTATCTGTATGTATTATAATTTCCAGTGATTTCACTATTAATTATCATTAAACCTTACTGTTGATTATATATATATAAGTATAATTCAAGCCATTTAAATGCTTCAATAAAATTTGTACTATTAGTGCAATTCCTAGAGTTACTGCATCAGCATTTTGAGCTTTCAATATTTTATACCAATTACGAATTGACAAAGGATATCCTCTGTTTAGTATTCAACATTTAATGGGTAGTTGAGATCTCAAATTCTTACACCTTTATGCAAACTTGCTTGGAATTTTGTAGAACAAGATGATGGCTTTCCCCTTCAACTATTCTTTGTTATGCAAATGACATCTTTCTTACCATGTATTCATTAATTTTTTTGATAAGTATGTATTCAGTAATTCACAACCTTCGATTATTTCTGAAACAGAAAAAAAAAAAAAAACCAAGGACTAAAAAATATTAATGATACTCCAAATAATTCTGACGGATACAATATTGATGACACTGCCTGAATTCTTGCACATGCTTAGTATAAGTAGATTTGTCCTGTTGCAGTTAGCATAAGCCCTTCTCCTGAACATCGTTGCTTTTATGTTGACAGACGTATTTTGCATGCAAAATTAGTCGTGACACAGCTTAGTTGAGTTGAATTAAGTTTGCAATTATATTATTGTTAAGCATTATTTGACCTTGCTTCACTCTTCTCAACACACCATATTCACTCACATTTGAGGTGCAGCGATTGGAGCTTACAAATTACTTGGAGAACATGTGTGATAGAGAATGGACCTACACTAATGCAATCTAAAATGATTGGGATGTCATGCATAAGCGAGTATGAGTATGAAAACATCCACTTTGTGCAAATAATATCAGAGTTTAGGTTTGTTTTTAGTCTACCGCACCCAGCATCCTCTACTGGCAAGACCTATTGCAATATACCGGATACTATAAATTTAGCTTTTCAAATAATGTGTTGAAGGAGACCATCTATTTGAAGGATACATAAATTAATTTCAATAAACATTTTTGTACTTATTTTATTTTATTATTATTTTAAATTTTTTTTCAATGAAGGTGAGCGTTGGCACAACGGTTTGGTTCTCTATTGTGTGACCTAAAGTTCACGGATTTGAAACAAGGAAACAACCTCGATCTCTAGATGCGGAGGTAAAGCTACGCACATCTAACCCTCCCCAAACCCTGCAGTGGTGGGAGCCTCGTGCATTGGATTTTCCCGCTTTTTAAATCATGTTAAAAAAATATAAAAATGATTTTTTAGTGTCCTATGAATGTGTGTTGTTATATGAAAATTCTCACATAATTTTCAACTCTCATACATGTGGTGCTTTTGAACCTGATTTGCTTATGTTTCTTTTTCATTATGCAGTCCTATCTAGTAGGTGGAAGACTATCTCGACTGCCTTTTGATGCGAAGAAAGGTTTGACTTTTCAAAAAGAGATGATGACGATCACTAATACTATCTTCAAGCAGAGGTAAATCAGCTATAAGATTTTATTTTAGTTTATTTTAGTTTATGCTCCATTTGGGCCATTGCTTGGTGAAATATTAAAAGTTTAAATGGTCAAGCGTGAGAATGGGGGGTTTTGGGCGCAAGGGCAACCACATTTTTCAAATAATGCCAAAGTTTAGAACTGTATACAGTCCACCCATCCAAGTGCCCTGCAGTAACTAGACCACATTGGCTAATGACCTTAAAAAATAAAGGATAAATTACATGTACGTCCCCTCTAATTAGGGTTTATTACAGTTACCTCTCTTGTGTTTTGGATAATTTTAGATACCTCCGTTCTAGCTACATGTCCTATCAAATCAACCACTACCTTTAGTTTCATTAACGGTCAGAGATGGTCAACGCTAATGTGATAAGTTTTTTTAGCTTCATATGACTAATGTGCCATTCAAATTACTGAAAAGAAACTTTTGTCCAATGCTTGTTGTGTGAAAAAGACAATTATGCCCCCAACTGACAGCAATTCCTTCAAAGGACGAGGAGGAATGTTTGAGAAAAGTGGTGGCGGGGGGTTTCGCAGGCTAATGATCTTTTTGCTTCCATAGCTCACATAAGGCTTCCCTTTGTTTTAGGGGTACAACACCACCACACAATAGACATTTGGCAAAAGTGTTTCCATAGCAATTTGAAGGGCTCATTTGTCATATGAAGCTAAAAAACTTGCCACGTCAGCTTTGACCATCTTTGATCATTGGTGAAACTGACGATACATTTGTTGCACACATGTAACTAGAAGGGGGGTAATTATAATTATCCAAAACATAGGGGACGTAAGTGTAATAAACCCTAACTAGAGGGGCGGTAAGTGTAATTTACCCGTAATAAACTTGTACTGTTTTTCTCTGCGTAGCTTCATGTTATTCATTGTCGTACTGCCTAATATTTTGCGTATTTCACCTCCACCTCCACCTTTTTTATTTTTTTTTATTTTTTTGTTAAATTGATTTCTCGAGTTATAGTTAAGAAATTACTGTCTGGCTCCAAGTAGTTGTGAAAAGGTGTTCTCAAGTTAAGCTGGGAAGGTAATATTTGTTTATTTTGAAATGACAAGCTATCTTACCCTTTAAGGTAAGCTCAAGTTACAGAACTAGCTTATAAATTCGAGTTCCTAACCACAACCAAATAAAAATATAGGGGCTCATAATTCTGCAGTGAAATAACATTAGGATATATTTTGCCATAGGCGCTATACTTTGAGCACTTGAGCAAAATAAGCTTATAGTTGATAAAGTGTTGTTCCAACATTGTTAGAATTAAAAACAAGATGACACATTCAGGCTGTCAAAAGAAAAGAAAATAAAAGAAAGAGAAAAAGAATAAAATCCTTTCAAAAGTTAAAACCTCCACAAACAACTCCGATCTACATATTAATCAAAATAGAATAAGATAATGAATTTATGCCCATTATATTGAACTTATTAACACTATATCCAAACAAAAGAATTATACCTTGAAAAATAGTATTATTGTTTATGGGACGACTTATAGACTTATAGTAGCATCTATAACTGCTAAAGCAAGTATATCTCTTTCATGTCTTCCACTGTTCTCTCAATCAGTAAATTTGTCTTCTGTTTTTTACAGAAAGCCGGAGAAACCAAAAGTCAAGCAAGTCAAAAATTGTTAAAGGAGGTTATTTAATTTTTTGACAAAGAGTTTAAAGCACAATATCTGCAAACGCATAGTATAACATACAAATAGACTAACAAGATAAAGATAGGAAAAAGAAAGAAAGAATGATAGATGAGATACTACAAAACATGTATTTGGAATCAATATGTGAACAAAAAGGTTTCCAAAGCATTCACTACCAAATTTCATCAATCATCTTTTTTTCTTTACTTCTCAGCTTTCTATTTCCATGAAAGCATTGAAACTGTTGTACTCCATTTGTTTTAATGGAAAACCTTTTGAGAACTTTTTCAATAGAAAAAGGAAAAAAAGGACATTTTAGGAAAAAATTTCTCACTAACTTTATGGTGATACATTCCATGTATCTCTTTATTTTATTTTATTTTATTTTTCTGTAAGGAATGTGTCTGCTTGCTAATCAGAATATGACATAAATTTAAGAACTAAAATTGAATAATTCTCCAATATATATATATATATATATATATGTATGTTTATATTGGGTAGTATTAAAAAGTGAACATATAGTCACCAAACTTTTTTTTGTTACGATGCAACCCAGACTATGTTTTAAAGCCAAAAAGACAAGAGAAGAAAAATTGCACTCCAAAATTCTCAATACAAAGCTAATGGATAAATATTTTCTTCTATATTCAGTGGGGTGCAATTTGAGCATACCATCGCAAACTTAACCCAAACCCAACCCAACCTAACCTTTTCACGGTCTTGGACAGCACTTTCTAAACCTTGAGTCAGGATTGGATTTGAAGATTTCAGTTTGGGTTGTGGTTGGGCTGAGGTTTCAGGCATCCTGAAACCTACTCCAATTTGTCAAACCTGATCTTAACATGAATATATATTATACACACGCATACCACACGTGGATAGTTGTTAATGTGGTAGCTTATGAAATTTTATTTGCATATTTTAATGGTATAATTATTATTCTGAAAGGTATTTTGAGTGATTTGTAATTTTGAAGTAGAACTATCATTGGGTTCCTGTCAACCCGAACTCAACCCAAATTTCCTAACCCGTGCTCAGAAAAGTGTGTGGATTGGGCTCTATCTTAGAAGCTCAGGTTGGGATCTTAGGTTGAAGGTTTCATACTTTGGATTGAGTCTGGACTAATTCCTCAACCTCCCTGAGTTGCAGCCCCAATTTTCAGGACGTACGTGCCTTGCTATCAGTGAGATATGAATGATATGAGTAGTTCTTTGTGATATATATTATCATGCTAGGCATGAATTATATATCGATATATTTGCATTCGTACTTCACATAAGATTTTATTTGCACATGCAACTTGAAACAGGAATCAGAATTCAGATAGTGAACTGGAGGATGCAGTTCTCAATCATCAAAGCAGAACTTTCGGACTCAAGCACTTAACAAGCAGATGCACACTTTTAGAAGCTGTCCCTTAACAAGAACTGACATTTATTTATTTTGTTACTGTTCCTTGTATCAAATTGAAGTGCTCTGATTTGGTCCCTCATTGATTTTATTTTTTATTGATGAATTTTTGTGGTTTCAGATGTTTAATAAGAGTAGTGGGTTGAGGTAGATTTTCTTAGGGCCTTCTTGGAAGAGTGGCAGATTGTTAACGCTGGGTGGAGAGCTGAGTAACAACATGCCATTTGATGCAACACCTAACTATAACATTCAACCACTAATGTGAAGATTTAGAGCAAAATTAGCAGCATGAGAGCCAAAGGCAACTTTAGTGCTTCACCGTGTGTAGTGTTAATATTCTAAAACCTGACAGACTCACTCTTGTTTCTTGAGTAAACTTCCCAAATAACCTTTACGAACACTAGTCTAGTCCATCTATAGTCTCTCTTACTCTCCCTTCCCCAGACACGCACTGTCACACACATGGCCATTCATCATGCATTTGGTATATGGTTTATTCTCTCATGGTGTGCATCCAAACATGCACACAGTACACACACAAACACTCATATGTAGGTATCATATATATATATACATACATACATATATATATATATATATCAACTTATTTTGTTTATATATAGAGGGGAATTATTCCTTCTTTTTTTCTTCTTTTGGATGCTGATGTGCGTGATATTTCTATTAATAATAAACAACTCGCAATAGAACGAATCCTTATATGATAGGGCTATATAGAGGGTGTGGAAACTCAAGGATTGTGGCGGAATTGCTAAGTATAAAATCAATTCGAAATTCGATTTGGGTGAAGAATTTGATTTGTTTTCTATTTCTACTTTGCAATGAATGTAAAAACTGAAAATAAACTAAGTTACGAGAGAATATGTATTAAGAGAAGGGGAACTTAGGGATTAACTTCACTACTAGCCTCATAACGTCGCCAATTGTAGTAATTTTGTAAATTCATATTTATGTATATTCGGGAATCAAGTGGCCTTACGTTCACTTCCAATTCAATTAGAAAGGTGTATATGAGCAAACACTAAGCATAACTCATTTTCGGTTGGCATGAACTATCTACCTAACTACTCTAATCTACTGTGCAGTACAACCCGTCTTCTCTAGGCATGAATTATCGAACCATTCATTAATATATTCGTTAAGCACCATTGCATGATCACTTCTCCTATAATCACATAAAATAAGAGATGTTTGAATTCGATTAAAGTAAAATCAATTCCAAGACAAGATAGAGATTTCATTAAAATCAATTATAATTATTAAATCTCAATTGCATAGTACTACTAAGTCAATTGCTCTTAATCATGCAATTAATATACATAATCAGAAAAGATCCCCAAAAATAAGAACAATTAACAATTGTTACTTGGCTAGGGTTACATCAATGCCCTAAGAGATAATTTAGCTACTCATGGAGAAGGAAGAAATCTTCAATGATGTGTTGAACACCATGTCCATGGACTGCTATTTCTAACCAGAACCACCTTCTTCAACTTTCAACAATGAAGAAAAGCCATTAGCTGCCAATCTCTTTCTAAAACTTGTCTCTGCATAAACCTACTTCAATTGTGGTAATCATACCCTAAATAAGTTTCAGGACGGGCCTCAATGTGAACCATAAGCTTTTGATGAAGTCTGGTCCGTAAAACATGTAAATCCCACAACTATTAGGATTTAAATTTGATGTACCGAAGATCGATAGTAGGTGAGCTGCGATCAATCTTGTGCACCGCAACGATCGATTGTACCAAGGCCACGATCGATCGTAACCTTGGCATAGAGTTTTTGGTCTTCGGAAAGCTTGCAACACATGCATAAGGACATTAGAGTATTTAGGATCGATCCTAGAGGAGCTAGGATCGATTGTAGCTTCACAAATTTGACTTTTTCATCCTTTGGAGTCCGGAATTGTCCCCAATCATGCCATTGCTCCTCCCAATCCTCGGAAACTGTTAGCATATATGATACCATGATTTATGGAATGACTTACCATAATAGCAGAGATCTGACTATGCATATGTTAAAATATATGATAGCCACGATTTATGGAATGACTTACCATAATAGCAGAGAGTTGACTATGCTATAGAATATGCCATAGAATATGCTTTAGAATAGGTTGTGATTTGATTTAGATTTGATTTAGTTTCCTTTCTTGTAATATGAGCATGTGCTCTATTTAATCTATAAATACTAGAGCTGTGAATGAGTAATTTATCTTATTCAAGCCTTTATGCAATTCTCTCCTTTATCTTCTTTTTATATTTCTACTTGGTATCAGAGCCAACACCTTTCCACACCTTTCAGCAGCCTTGTTACTTGTGCGACAGCCACTTAGGCTATCGTGTGACGTTGCCTACATATGTTTTTCTGTATTGCTGTTTTTTGATCGAAAACAGGTAATTTTAAGTTTTACAATTTCTTTTTTACTCTTTTAGGGTTAGGTAAATTGGAATAGTTGGTCTCCAACACCTAGAAGGGCTTGGGTAAAAAAAAAAAAATTAGTCTACAAAGAGGTTCCGGATATTAAGAAGGAGGCTGTCTGGCTATATGTAAGCGGGCAGCACTCTTTAAAAAAAGTATGTATTTGGATTTTTCGGGAATGGTCCGAGGAGACATTGTTATTGTTTATGGTCTGAGGAGACCATTTTTTTTATTAACAGAATTTGTGGTGTTTTTGGAGTTTTTTATTGTCGCGTGACAGATTATGGCAGATTCAGGGTCCTTGACTGTTAATTCTCTTGGCTTAAGTTCTGTGGGTGGTGGTGCCATTTTTTCCACCAACTCATTAGAAAATCTAGGACTTCAAATCACCACAGTGAAGTTGGATGGTTCTAACTATTTGATTTGGGCATAGTCTGCCAAGATGTTCATTGGTGGCAAAGGCAATATTGGCTATATTACTGGTTTTGATAAACAACCAGCTGAGTCAGAGAAAACATATCCACAGTGGTTTGCGGATAACGCTATGGTTATGTCTTGGCTAGTCAATTCGATGCAACCAAGCATAGTTGTTGGTTATATGTTTATGAAGACTGCTAAGCAGATTTGGGATTTAGTTCAACGCACTTATTCTCAGAGGCAGAATAATGCACGAATTTTCCAGCTGGGGCGAAATATCACCAGGATTTCTCAAGGTGACTTGGTAGTTTCAGGTTACATCGCCAAGCTTCGTGTTATTTGGGAGGAGATGTCATATTATGATTCCTTCCACTCTTGGAAGGATCCAGATGATGCAGTTTTATATGCAGGGATTGTGGAGAAGAATCGAGTGTTTTAGTTTCTTGCCGGGTTGAACGACGAGTTTTAGTATGCTCGTGTTCATTTATTGGGCTTATCTTCATTCTCTACTCTTGAGGATGCATACTCCTATGTGTTGTCAGATGAGAGCCGTTGGACTCATCTATTAGGTGTTGCTTTTGTTGATCGTTCTGCTATGGCAGTTCGGGTTCCCAACCTTTCAGGAACTGCACCATCCCAATCAGTTCAGAGCTCTACCACCGGTCTTCCTCTGGGACGACAAAGCGGACGGTGTGACCATTGCAGAAAAATTGGTTACATCAAATCTCGTTGTTATGCTCTACATGGACGCCCACCGCAACAGAAACAATAGCCTCGATCTTCTGCACATTTCGTTACACAACCAATCTCGTTGTCAACTCCTGACAACTCTGCCTTTACATCTTCTGCCACAGTTACCTTGACTCAAATTGATTTGGACAAGTTCAAGCAATTCTTCAACCAAATGGAGGCATCATCTTAGCCAACCTCCACTTATGCCCGCTTAGGTACTATTGTGTTTGCACATAACGTATCTACATCTTTGACACCATGGATCATTGATTCTGGTGCTTCAGACAATATGACTGGTATGTCCTCACTCTTCCAATCTTATAGTATCTGCTCTGGCCATCGCAAGGTCCGCCTTGTGGATGGCTCTCCATCTTCCATTGTTGGGAAGGGTTACATATCAGTTACTCCTTCATTAACTTTGTCAGATACACTTCATGTTCCAAAGTTGACTACAAATCTTACTTCTGTTAGTAACGTTACCAAACAATTAAATTGTAGTGTAACGCTCTTTCCTTCTCATTGTATTTTTCAGGATCTGGTGTCGAAACGAACGATTGGCAGTGGGCGTGAAGTGGACGGTTTATACCTGTTGGATGCTCCTTTGTCACCTCAGGCACATTTAGCTTCATTTTCTAATATTGTTTCATCTAATAAAGCCCATCTTATGCCTTGGCACATACGTTTAGGACATATTTCTTTCGGTTATTTAAAACATTTATTTCCTTCCTTATTTTGTAACGTGGCAGTGTCAGATTTATCTTGTGAGACATGTCATATGGTTAAACATGTTCGTTCCAATTATCCTGCTAGTAGTAATAAATCTGCTTTAACACCTTTTGATCTTGTTTATTCAGATGTGTGGGGTCCTTGCCCAATTACTTCTAGTCTTGGATTTCGATATTTCGTGTTGTTCATTGATGATCATAGTCGTGTTATATGGGTTTATCTTATGAAAACCAAAAATGAGGTATACACCATTTTTAAAAATTTTATGACAATGGCTCAAACTTAATATGGTCGTACCATTAAAAAATTCAGATCTGATCAGGGTACGGAGTACACTTATGGGGAGGTACAACGGTTATGTATAGAATTTGGGATTGAGCATCAGATGGCTAATGTTAAAACTCCTCAACAAAATGGTCGTTTTGAGAGAATCGCCACATCCTTGAGTTAGACAGAGCAATTTGCATTGGCATGAATGATCCCCAGTCATTTTGGGGAGATGCAGTTCTTACGGCTGTTTACATCATTAGTTGGACTCCTTCTAGGAATCTTAACTTTACAGCCCCACTCTCAATCTTACATCCCAATTCATCTCTTTTTTTGATTCCTCCGCGAGTCTTCGGGTGTGTGTGCTTTGTTCAGCAATTGGGGCAGACTCCTACAAAGCTTGACCCCAAGGCTTTGAAGTGTGTTTTTTTGGGCTATTCTCACTCTCGAAAAGGTTATAGATGTTACCATCCTTCCAGTCGTCTGCGGTTTATATCCATGGATGTTTCTTTCTTTGAGCATACACCATACTATAGTGGTTCAGTTGGTTCTCAAAGTGAATGGTTCCTATTGAATATAATGGATGATCTCCTTCTTCCATCTTCAACTCCTCTACCGTTATCTGTTTCGTCTTCTATGATTCCTCCTTGTGATACCCCTCCAGCAGGGGAATTGTTCCTTTTTCACAGGTTTATAGTCGGAGCAGGTACAAACTTCTACTCCCACGATCGACTGCCCTGTTCTTTCGTCACCAGCTCTGCCTTCTCAAGCTATTTTTTCGCTTGATGATCGCCCTATTGCTCTTCGCAAGGGTAGACGTTCTTGTACATACCCTATTTCTAATTTTGTTTCTGATTATGCTCTCTCACCCTCCTAGTGGAGTTTTCTTGTTTATGTTGCCTCGGTTCCTCTAACTTCTAGTGTTGCAGATGCACTAGCACAACCTCAATGGCGTGATGCTATGACAAAAGAACTACAAGCACTTGAGAAAAATCAAACTTGGGACATGGTTCTGCTTCCTATTGAACGAAAGGCTGTGGGTTGTCGTTGGGTGTTTACAGTTAGGCGTAATCCAGATGGTCAGTTGCTCGTTACAAGGCCCGGTTGGTTGCCAAGGGTTATGCTCAGACTCATTAATATCAGGAGACTTTTGCCCATGTTGCCAAGATGAATACCATCCGTGTATTACTTTCTGTTGCTGCGATTCGATCTTGGCCTCTATTTCAGTTAGATGTCAAGAATGCATTTCTTAATGGTGATTTGCAGGAGGTGTACATGGTTCCTCCTTCGGGCTTTCGTTCTCGTGCTCATTCTAGTATGGTATGTCGTCTTCGTCGTTCTCTATATGGCCTCAAGCAGCCTCCTCGAGCTTGGTCTAATCGCTTTGGCACTGCCATGCTCAAGTTTGGTTTCCATCAAAGTGCAGTTGATCATACCTTATTTTTACATCATTCAGGCTGTAAGACAATTGCTCTCATTGTGTATGTCGATGATATTGTTCTTACCGGCGATGATACTACCAGAATTGCTGAGGTTAAGTGCTATCTTGGCCGTCAGTTTTAGATTAAGGATCTTGGTCCCCTACGGTATTTCTTGGGCATTGAGGTGGCTCGCTCCAAGGCTGGCATTTTCATCTCTCAACGCAAGTATGTTCTTGACTTGCTTTCTGCTTCTGGTCAACTTGGCGATCGTCCTGTTGATACTCTGATTGAGAAAATCATCGGTTGGCTGATTCTGAGGGGGAGTTGTTGTCAGATGTTTGTCAGTATTAACGACTTGTGGGGAAGCTCATCTATTTATCCATGACTCGACCTGACATTGCTTATGCCGTGAGTGTCGTGAGTCAATTCATGCACTCTCCTCGTGCCCTTCACCTTGATGCAGCTATTTGAATCCTTCGCTACTTAAAAGGGTGTCCAGGCCGTGGTGTTTTGTTTGCCAATCATGGTCACTTACGTGTTGAGGCTTGGACAAATGCTGATTATGCAGGATCAATTTCAGATAGGAGGTCAACTTCAGGTTATTGTACCACTATTGGTGGTAACTTGGTTACTTGGTGTAGTAAGAAGCAGGATGTTTTCTCTCGATCTAGTGCAGAGGCAGAGTATAGGGCTATGGCTCTTGGGGAATGTGAGTTGCTATGGCTGAAAACCTTGATGACAGACTTGTGCCTTCCAGTGTCGCTTCCATTCTCACTCTACTGCGACAACAAGTCTGTCATTAGCATAGCAGCAAATCCCGTTTAGCATGACAAGACTAAGCATATAGAGGTGGATCGTCACTTCATTCGAGAGAAGATCATCTCTGGTCAAATTTGCACTCCATTTGTCACAAGCTCTCAGCAGCTTGCAGACATTCTTACAAAGGGCGTTAGCAAGATTGTGTTTGAGAATACATTGTCCACGTTAGGCGTTTCAGATATCCACGCACCAACTTGAGGGGGAGTGTTAGCATATATGATACCACGATTTATGAAATGACTTACCATAATAGCAGAGATTTGACTATGCATATGTTAGCATATATGATAGCCATGATTTATGGAATTACTTACCATAATAGTAGAGAGTTGACTATACTATAGAATATGCCATAGAATATGCTTTAGAATAGGTTGTGATTTGATTTAGATTTGATTTAGTTTCCTTTCTTGTAATATGAGCATGTGTTCTTTTTTGTCTATAAATACTAGAGCTGTGAATGAGTAATTTATCTCATTCAAGCCTTTACGCAATTCTCTCCTTTATCTTCTTTTTATATTTCTACTGAAACACTGTTGAAGGCCTGAATTAGTTAGAATTGAAACACTGTTGAAGGCCTGAATTAGTTAGAATTGACCAGAGTTGACGATGAATACCTAAAAATGACTGAGATCAAGTAAATGATATAACTACTACTACATAATTATTACTAAAGAACTAAGATATGCAACTTTAAGGGCTTGAATATGCAACATTCAGCGCTTATCAGCTACTACAAGTGGAATACATTTATTTCCAGTCATAACTTATACATTAAGAATAATGTGTTCCCTTCTTCAGCTAGATTACTGATTTCAGAAGCTTGTAGCATGCTAAGATATGTGAGGCAACTGCCGAGTGACACTTATTAAGAAGGATTGTTCCTCAACCAGGGATAGGAGAATTTAATTATCTCAAGGCCCTGGATTTCTCATATTGTTTGCTTCTTCAGGTACCTTAACGGTTTCTGGCTTGTGTTGCTGATGGGCCATATCGTAAGTTGCATGTAAACCAATGAAGACATAGTAAACAAGCATTACAATGGTGCAGACACAGAACCTTATAAAAGCATCAGATCCCAAAGATCCCATTAGAAACAAATTTGTTGCAATTGACAAAGATGGAAACCACGGGACAAGTGGAACACCCCAAACCTTTGGTGTGCGTTGCTGCGGCAAAAACACCGAAATCCCCATAGTCCCCAAGAACCAAAGAGGAAGAGTGATGGCATAACCAACCCAACCATTGGGGTACAATCCCCAGTAAGCTGAAGTTCCCATGGAGGAAGCAATAATGATGAGCAGGAAGATTATTAGCTTCAATATGTTTACTTGAGGAGTGATCCCTTTCACATAGTATCTCCTCACAAGAAGTGCAACTGCCATCATCATGAAGATAAAGAGCGTACTCAGAGATAATAAACTTGCCAAGACATCCAAACTTGAAAAGAAAGCAATGCAGGCACTGGAAATGGTAATCAGGAGTGTAGCATTTATAGGGGTTTTTGTCTTTGGGTGGACGAGAGCAAACCATGGTGGGATCATGTGAGCTCTTGCAATATGAGTAGTATAGCGTGCCTGTCCAAGCGCCCCTACCAGAAGAACAGTGGTCATCCCCTTGAGAGCTCCGAGAGCTACCAAGTACTTTGCCCATTTCATCCCCACGCTCTGAAACGCAACAGAGTAGGCTGCATTGAGATCTATTTCTGTGTATTTCTGCATCGCACTCAATGAAAGTGCCATCAAGCAATATATGACAGTGATGATAGACATGGAACCAAGCAATCCCAACGGTATATCTCTTGGCGGATTTCTTGTTTCCTCTGCCATGGTTGCGATATTATCAAACCCTCCATAAGCAAAGTAGACAACTGCTGCCGCTTTGAAGATTCCTTTAGCACCATAAGGCAAAAATGGTGTAAAATTGGAGGTGTTGGCATGAGCAAAGCCTGCAATTATCACGAACAAAATTACTATAGTGTTTACTGCAGATGCAATCCAATTGACGTATGAAGTTTTTCTGGTGCTGATCATAGCAAGTGTGGATGCAATTGCTAGAATTCCAACAGCAATTGGGTCCAAGAGGTTGAATCCCTCTTTGAGTTTTGTTGTGTGTATGCGTAATGAGTTAGGCTGAAGGTTCAAAAGAGTTGTGAAGTATGAAGTCCAAGCTCGAGCAACTGCTGCACTTCCAACAATACTTTCAAGAAGTGTGTTCCCTGCTGTTATAAATGCTGCAAAGTCTCCTAGTTCTACCCTCAGGTAAGCAAATGAACCACCAGCGACAGGAATTTCCACAGCAAATTCTGTGTAGCAGAAAACAGAGAGCATTGCTGAAACACCCGAAGCGATGTATGATAAGACAATGGCTGGTCCAGCGTTGTTATGGGCTTCTTGGCCGGTGAGCACAAATATGCCAGCTCCAATGACTGAGCCAAAGCCAAACCAGGTAAGGTCCCACCAGTTGAGGCAGCGTTTCATGTCGTGTTCGCTCTGTTTCCGGAGCTCCCCAAGCTCGTTGGCATCATCAGATCGGCTTAGAAGACGATCCTTGAACCGGAAGCATGTTTGTCTTAATGCAGATAGGTAAGCATCCATGTTGTTGAAAGATTCTTCTGGGAAGAACTCTTGTTTGCTCCATCTCCTCCAATAGCTTCTTGGTGGGATCTCGTCATTCTGTTCTCCAACAGATGAACCCATTACTGTTTGTCACCTTTGGTTTTTTTTCTTTTCCGCTCTTCACCTTGTGTTGTTGATGGGTACTGAAGACTAGGGATCAAAACCAAATTGATGCGATGCTGCTGTTAGATAAGTTATTTCTTAAGTGAACCAGTACTGGCTAGCTGCTGTTGCAACTTGCTGCAAGTCTGGAATCTATCGATCTTGTGCAAGAGAGCTAGCTAGCTTTTGATTGGTAAACAGAAATTAATATAATATGGTTGTCACGGTTCTACCTTGTCATTTTCATGGCCCACTTATTACTAAGTAAATAACCCATTGTTATCAGATCACAATTTCATTGTCATTTTCCAGCTCATAGTTTTTGGATGTTTGTGAGAAATTCAAACTGTCATTGTATTATGGGAGCCACTTGCTAAATTATATAGATGGATATTTGTTTTAATTTTCAATTACAAGCTAAGATTTGGATGGTTCATATCTGCCATAAGAGAATGACACCACATGAAAAATAAATAAATAAAAATAAAAATAAAAATTGAGTTCTATCAATGATCTCACTTCTTCTACTGATGATTAAAATGTGAGTTCTATAAAAATGTGAGCCTTGAATAATTAAAACATTATGCTATGCTAGGTAGCATGAAAATGTGTCTGGGAACGCCTATACTCTCAGAATGATCTCACTTCTACTGATCAAACGTCTAGAAGGATGAAATGAGAAATGTTAAAAATAAGATGATAGATCAGAGTTTGAGTAAATACAACGCCCTATGTGGATATTGTTTAATGACCCACTCAAATCATGTTTCAAGGCTTTCAAAACATATTTTCACCCTGGGAACATTTTAGAACCTTTTGAAAGCTTCCAAATGCTTGAAACTCAATTAAGTGAATTTTATGAAATTAAACCAACTTCAAAACCTAAGTCAAAGGTATCCCAAACAATCTTAAGTCTTTACCAACTTATTTCCCAACTTCTCTAAGGTGATTAAACCTCATGGAACTAACACATTGTTGAGATATTTCAATGCAGCTTAGCTGCATACTTTAATCCTCATCGGTAAGGTGACTGACAAAGACAAATGTGACCAACGAAACTCACATCCTAGCATAAAACTTGCCACATACAAAAACTATCCTCATGTAGTCTGGATGGGTGGCGGTGGATTGTCAAACAACTCCGAGCCCTCAGAGGGACAGATAGTTGATATCCAAGCAAAAATTTTCTTGAACCAAACAATGTTGCATTAACATTGCAATTATTTCTTCTCTTTTACTGTATCATCAGTACACATTCACTGATCGCATGAGAGCAAAAGAAAAAGGAAAATCGGCAGGACCAATCTCCTCAGAAAGTTAATTTTTCTGAGGTAAGCCATTCTTGTGCAGCCACCAAGTCAGGGAGCACAGTTGCACCAGATTTTCTCCAATTCTCAGCATCAGGTGTCTTAAATCTATCCAACAACAATGCATGCATCCCCACACTCTTTGCTGGCAAATAGTCTTTGCGCATGCTGTCTCCAATGTGCAGAGCTTCCTCCGGAGCAATATTTCCAGCCCTCTCCAAGGCAATCTCATATATCCTCGGATCCGGCTTTTCTACACCCTCTAGACCAGAGAACACGCCAAAATCCCACTCAGATCCCTGAATTCAGAAAACATTATAAAAGGAACTCAGTATTCTCCACACTCGGCATAGTTTTTGCTATGAATTTATTGTTACCTTGATACCTGATTAAATCAAATCAACTACATAGAATTCAATTGGGATTCCAATATTTCCATTATTATTTCGTACTTACCTGATTTAAATCCAACGCTGGAAGAATAACATCCTGATAACGGTACTCTGCATTGCTGACAATCCCAACTGTTACACCTTTTTTACGAAGCCATTGTAAAAATGGCTGGGAATCTGGAAAGACAGAATAAGGTGCCGATGAACCAAAGGATGCGTATATTCGTCTAAACACCTTGTCAAATGTCTCCTCATCGTAATCATATCCTGCCTGTCAACAGAACAAGTTTCATACTCATTGCAAAGCTAACACATTCCTATAAATTGTATTGAGAGCATATATTCATACCACGGCTCATCAACATTTTTTTTTTCCTTATACTTGACGGGGGAAGGGGAAGGGGGATTATTATTATTATTATTTTGCCTTATTATCATTTGAAATCAGCCTGTTACCAAATTCGGTACACTGCATCTATCACAATATGTAAAACGGGTGGATTACTGATGTGCTTCTTGCTTTTTCAGAAAATTAATGTGAGTTCCTCTAATAATGTGCCACACGGTTATTAGTGACATGCTGGAGAATGCAAAAAATATCCATGATATTCTTATTTTATTTGGTATAGGCAAGGCCTGAGGCCAAAAAAATCCAGGATGAAGTAATATATCTTACCCTGATAAAGGAATCTCTCACACAAGTCTTCCACCAGACAATGTTGGGTATTTTGGCTCCATAACCAAAACATGGATACTTTTTTGCCACATCTGAGTATGCAAGCTTAAAACCCTCGTGCACACGTTTGTAATCAGGACATGGCAACCCAACAGATTTGGCTGCCATACAATAGTAGTCACCAAGCTCCCCTTTGTAAGCTATGAGCGTACCAGTAACATCTATTGTAATACAGCGTAACTTTGATAAAATAGACATTGTAAAAAGTGATTCTGCCTAGATGTGTGAAATCAGAAATGCCCAGAGGGGCTTATTTTATGTACTTGAGTAAGATCATGATGACAACCAACCAATATAACAGATCAGCCAGCTTCTTTAGAAGAGTCAACAGCCCTGCATTTGAATAAGTCAGCCAATTGTGTTACAGAATGCATCAGTATATTTTGAGCAAACATGTAAAACCAGCTCAAACCATTCTCACTTGAGCATGAAAAAATTTATAATTATTGTTTAAAAAAAATAAAAATCTAAATGTCTAACGATAACAAATTGTCATCGCATTCACGTCTAAACAATTACATAGGCAGCAAAGAGGGCTCGTCTATCAAATTATAAGTCACTTCTAAACATAGTATTATTCTACTACATTTATTTGTATCAACAATAGCAATATCGAACACAAACCTATCAAAGCTACACATTGCCAACGTCTTACACAAGCTTATAACATTTGGTAAGCTACATATCACTGTTCTCATTTTAAACTTCCTAGCAGTTCCATATGGTTCCATAAATAAATTTATATCAGTTGACTGAAATCCAACCCAAGAAATAAATTAAAAGCATTGATCCCAAGTGCCGGGTGAGCTCTTCAGTTCCAACTCGGTTAACCTTGTATATCACATTCAAGCGGTCATATGGTTGATTTCATCTTTTATTATGATTAATTAATTAATTAATTATGAGAAGTAAATATCATCTAATTCTCAACCACTTCCACCTACCAAATTTTAGGACATCTCTAAAGTTCTGTATTTTCTTATCATTCCCATTTTAGGATTCAGTAATTACATTTCAAGAAAATTGTTCACATTCCCAAAATGAATAATTAAACATAGCTTCACGCGGCCCCCCCCCCCCCCCCCCCCCCCCCCCCCCTCTTCAAAACACACACACAAATGAGCCCACTTAGTGAAACACAGAAACCACATTTTCAGAACAGCAGCAATCAAGGCCCAATATGTTCCGCATATTCAGTAGGGTAGACAACAGTGTAGTTCTTGCTTCAAACACCATAAGCAAAAGTCATCAACTAACAACTGGAAAGTTGCATGTTAATTGATAAATATGACATACAAATCGCATGCTTTTTGAAAGACAGAATATGACTTCACAGTATGACTAATCTAGTTCAGAAAAAAGGTCCATGGATTTTACATTGTCAAGATCACAGATATTCAATTCAATATATGAAGATCTGCAAATTCTTTATCTTTAAGATAAATATGTGAATTCTGAAAAACTCAAGTAAGAGAGTGTATCGGCAAAAAAATTGAAAAATTCTATCGGAGACAAGATGAATTATACGTAGTAAGTTAATAGTACAGAAGAGATAATAAATGCAAAATTATATAATAAAGAACAGAGAGAACAAAGTAGAGCCATGAAGAAAGGCTAAAATTGTCTGCCTGGTCAAGTCTTAGAGACAATCACAAAGGTCTTTCACAACATCTTTTACGATTTTTCTCCCTTAAAGTAATAACATCCAGAATAAATCAGATTTTTATGACAAGGTTTTGTTTCCTGGCAGGAACAGAAATTCCAAGGAGAAATTCAGTTTAAAGATTTATAACCAGAAAATTGACCTATGACGAACTTCAGGCTAAAACATGCACAATTTCTTTGTGCTAGCACCACACAAAATTATTACAACAAATACTTGTTTAATTTCTTTTGCTTGGTCGATTCCTAAATCAGATGGAAAATGAAATGAAGCTGATACTGGAAGGTATTAGACCCTTAACTTATATTGAGTTTTAATGTCATGTTACATTTTGATAAACAAACATACCCCTCACTTGAAACTCTTAGTCTTCGTTTGGTTAGAAGGAAGTGAAAGAAACAATAAGTTTCCTAGCATGTGGTTAGAATGAAAACTTAGAAGGTTGTAGAAGAATTCCAATGGATGATTTGGATAGTATGGAAATTACAAATATATATTACTTTATACTCAAATATGCCTCACTTATACTAAACAGAAAACAAGTCTAAATGATTTTTTCTTAAATAAAAATCTTTTTAGCCTTTTTAAAAAAAATAAAAGTAATGTAAAATATAAAATAAAATAATTTTCTAGAAGATTCAATTTTTAAGAGAGAGAGAAATGAAATATTTTACCATTCCTTTGAATTCATGAACTCAATCCATTGTAGAGAGATAGAGAGAAAGGGCACAATTAGATGTTCAAATAAAATTATAGAACATAAGTTACGCAGGAAAATAAATATTTCATGCGTATCTTGCAAGACAATTTTTTGGATAATTTAAGTGGTTCTGAAAAACATTCTCTCCTTAAGTTTTCCTTTTTCCTGCTATCAAAACTCTGACAATTTTTTTTTTTTTTTTTCATAAATATTTATTTCCTGCATTGTCAACCATTTCCTGTCTAACCAAACAAACCTTAGAATTAGTGATGATTATATAAAAGTTTTCCAAAAATATCTCTCCCTCCTCTCTCATTTTTAAGTCTTCTTTTCAATGGTATCATATGATGATTTCCAACTTATTATCACAAAAGGCCCGACACCTCAAAAAATAAAAATAATAATAATGATTAAATAAATCATAGTACAAATGCATTCAAATAGTAAATATTTATCATAATATATCTTCCCCAAACTCATCAAGAACAGATATTTGAAATCAAATTATTTTTTGAACATTTTCAGAAATAATATATATATATATATATATATATATATATATTATTCGGGTAATAAATAGACAAATATAGTGTATAACATTGTTGTATAGTATTGTATGAGTTGTCACACGTGTACAGTTAGATTACATTGTATATTAGGGTCATCTGTATTCTGTAGCCGCCTTCACCTACCCCTCATTACCATATATAGAATTACCATGTATAGGGTTTACTTGTTCTCCACTCACCTACTCCCGTAACTTCTCCTATATAAATACCATTGTATTATTGTATTACTAACTTAATAATATATACGCTTTCATATATTCTCTCTCTCTCTATCTTTCAACATGGTATCATAGCGGAAATCGATCCCTTTTTAAATTTTTTTTTTTTTTTCTTTTCAGTCTTACTCAAACTCCAATCTTGATTCCATCTCAGCTTTCTCTTAGCAATCTCTTCTCGGCGTTCTCTCCTCGGTGATCTCGATTCTCGTCTAGACAATCTCTTTCGGATCCCTCCTCGGCTCTCTCCTCGGTAATTTCTCTCGGGTTCATCCCGGCTTAATCTTGGTTCTCTATCTCAGCTCCCTCTCGCTACTATATCTCATTTGTTCGGCAGCTCTTGTTATGGATACTAAGGAATCTCATCTTCTTGGGTCAATCACCAGCACCAAACTAAAATGCTCCAATTACCTTCAATGGTCTCGAGCCGTACAGGTGTTCTTACGAGCTCAAGGAAAACTGTCCTATCTTAAATCAACCAAACCCACCAGTGATGAAAATATTATTGAGGCTTGGGAGAAAGAAGATGCTCAGATTATGACTTGGTTATGGAACAGCTTGGAGCTTGAGATATTCAATAATGTGTCCTTCCTAGAATCTGCATAAGATATCTGGGAAAATCTCATCTGTGTCTTTCTAACTTTACTTATTTTAGCAATTAATCAATTAATCTTATGCAAGATAAAATTGTAAAGTAATAGAGTTAGAGATGACACCAGGATTTTTAGCAAGGAAACCCCAATTAGTAAAATAGACCAATTGTTTGTGCGGGAAAAACCTCGTGGACTGTACAGTCCAAAATAAACCGATCCACTATATTTGAAACAAAATACAATGGAGTTTGACTCAGGCTCACACCCTATCGTTCTACCAAACACCAATTGCTGACAATCTTCTGGCTTTGCGACGTTCCGTCCAACAGCACTTGACCTCAGGCTTACTCATTATCTCTGTAGAAGGATTGCTAGTATATCAAACAACACTTCTCGAATGCTTTGACCCTTTCAAAATGTGATCGCTTCACCTCTGTTCTTCAAGATCTTAATTTGATGTAGAATAAGTAGATCTGTTTTTCTGATCGTTGTAGATGCAAGACTTTGATCACGATCAGGATTTGATAAACACTATAAACTCACTCTTGTGTTTATGTGTGTTCTACAAAGAATAACAGAAAAATCAACTTTAATTTTCTGCAAAAATATCTCTTTAATAGGCTTTTAAGAATTATGAAGTTGTAGTGCAAAAGCCGTATCAACCTAGATGTAAATCAAGGTTTATATAGAATTTTTAAAGACCTAGATATGCATAAGAAAAGGTAATTTTCGTGCATACGACTTTTGAAAGAATTCTAAGCCATATAGGAAGTTTTAGACAAAACAAGAAACTGAAATCCTAAACTGTATCAGCAATTGGTACCAAGTTTGATCCTTCAAACCTGGGGCTTTGTTTGTGACTTGACCTTCATCCATTTCTTCAAGATCTTTTCTACAGGTTGATTAGAACCTCTGTATAGCAGACCAAAGCTCTGATACTAATTGATGAACGAAGAGCGGGTTTAATTGGTTCTTTTACAAAAAAAATTCCAACACTTAGTCAAGATCAAGTGTAAATAGGCTCACACATTCAATCACAAGTACATAATGGTTTTACAAGGAAAATCTCTCTCAACTAGAGATCAAAAACCTTGGTTCTTAGCAACAACCAATGTAATCTTCCACTAGTTGTAACGCAGGTAGATACACATACAACTGTCTCTCATTCTGCACACGCCCTAGCTCACAACAATGCACATATGCACTCCCACTGTTCTATGCAACCCTACTTGGACCCTATGAGCCCTCACAGCTCACCAAATACATATATAAAGATGTATTACAACAATACTTAAGCTATTATGCAAGATAAAACTGAGAATACAACTCAAAGTATCAACCACAACAGCAAAACTTCAATCTGCAGAACCTGTATATAGTACCCTCAACCTTATACCAACATTATACACAGATGATTTCTCAATGATTCAAACAAGGTATATCACTTTCACAGCTCAATAGGGCTTATGTTTGCATAAAACCCTAAAACCTAGGGTTTCAAAGGCCAAAATACCAAATGACCATTTCTCTGTGTAAATATCAACTTGTACAGCCTTGAATCAACTATAGAAACTTGCTCAAATAATAGGAGTTCAACTCACAGCAAGATAACATGCATATATACTCATGACAGAAGGCTAAACCAGAAAAACAAGTAACAGGTGGAGGTTTGAGACATCAAACTCAACTACAACAAGAATATGAACAAGATCACAAGTTCTGCAGTTGTAAAATGGTAAAATAAACTAGCCTCAACCGCTAAATACCTCTAAACTTGACTTAAGCATGGATTGAACCTCTGACCAACCATCTGCAGCAAAAACCCTCAATACACAGCCTTGTACTTCATCTTCAATTGTACATTCACATTATAGAGATTATTGAGTTGAAATGGATTGCAAATTAGTATCAAAACTCAATATAAGGTCATTGTTCTTGGTGTCTCGAGCGCATGTCAATATTGCTCACAAGCATGCTCAATTAGGCCTTACGAGGCACACTTTCTATAACAGCATATATATAGGGTACAATGGATTTTAAACCTACAAAAGAGGAAATCCACATGGCATCACCTACCAATCATTGGCCAGATAATGTTCTAACATTCTCTCATGACCACATTGCCCTTGCTACAGCTCACTATTTTGTCTTCTAGTAAGCATGTAAATTGACAGCTTGTGTATATATATAAACACCGGCAATATATATCAAGCTTAACCACTAAGCAATGCATAACAAGCTTCATCTTCTCACACTAGGACCACAAGGCACGTGTCACTAGGATGCTCATCAATTGCATTGACCAAAATACCCCTGTAAGGGACACTTGTCAATATACACAGTTTTCTGCAGCTGCAACTGTAGACACTTGATCAAACTGTGAATAAGAGCATTAAAATACAATGTACTATCACAAACAAATGTATTATGATAGAATACAAATGTAAAAAGACTTAATTGCCCCTGAAAAACTCTATAGCCAAATATCAACCTCTGAACCAGTCTTGTAAACCCTAATTGACTGTAACAAGCACTGTCAACACAATATAGCTTCCTCAAGCTACCTCAAGTGATATCTCATGAATGTAAAATGACAATACTACCCCTGTAAGCCTCTGTAATGCACTAAGTACTCAAGAATCAATTTAAGTTTACTGAAATAGACCTGTGACAGCTTTTTGACATTTAAGAGGGCAAACCCTAAATCAAAGATGGGACCAACAAAATTACCATGTATAGGGTTTACTCATTCTCCATTTACCTACTACCGTAGCTTCTCCTAAATAAACACCATTGTATTATGGTATTACTAACTCAATAATATATATACGTTTTCATATATATTCTCTCTCTCTTTCAACAAACATGAAGAAAAGTACAAGTCATCACCATTTAACAATTACTAAAGTAAGGCACGTGTTGTCCCCATGATATTCCAAGTGTACGAAGAACCCGGTCTAATTACTTTGTTGAGGCCCAAAATATTTGGTGTTTGTTGTACCTCAAGTGATTGGTGCTTACTAGCTAAGGCAGCGTTCCAAGGAGGGAAGGATACTTCTCATTGACATTCAAACTATTTCTCCCACATATGGCCAAAGGCTTAGCTACCTGAATTTAAAATATTTGTATGATTCAATTTGATGTTTAGGTTATAAACTTCCTAGCAGTTCCATATGGTTCCATAAATTAACTATTGTATCAGTATTGCCTGAAATTCAACGCAATTGACTTAGTTCAATTAAAAGACTTGATCCCAAGTACTAGGCAACTCTTTAGTTCCCAAATCCAACACTACTAACATTGTTTACTTGTTCACATGGTCATATGGTGAATGTCATTATTTATTTAGTTATTAAATTATTTAGTTGTCTAATTATCAGAGTTATCAACCACTTCCACATACCCAAATTTCAGACCTCCAAATTTCTCTAATGTATTATTGTTCCAAGACCAAAGTGAACATGGGCAGAGCTAGTAAGGAAAGATATGGTAACATATGGTTTGACTGAGGCTATGGCCTTGTATAGAACAAAATGGAAAAATAGGATTCATGTAGTTGGGAAAAGGGCTTTGTTGAGCTGAATTGAGAATTATTATTGCCGTTCTAGTATATGGTAATTTACGTGTAAAGAGGATTAACCTTCCCACATTCCCATAACGTAATTTGATGATAATAAAAAGTGTCTACTCAACTCTTGACAAGAAGAAAGGAATTAATTTGCTGCTCATATAATCAAACAGTTAAGCTTTATTTATATGTTTTGTTTTTTTAATGAACCCACCTACGAAACCTACAAATAACGTGCGTTGTTTGGTTTAGTTTTCTGAAAACAGTTTATATTCACAGTGAACCAAAAAAACAGAGAACAGTACAAAATTTTGTTCAGTTAATAATTTTACTTTAAAATAATATATATATATATATATATATATATATATATATATATATATATATCATTTTCTAAATACTCAATTAGAAAAAGGATTGTATGCACAGAGAGTTGTTTATTTATAAGTCTCTAAAAATGTATTATGTTTTTTGAGTTCCCGAAAACTGTTTCTTCTCTAAACTAACAAGCCTCAAATTTTCAATACAGCTGCAGTTAGGCCCAATGCATCCTGCACATTCAGCAGGTTCATCAATGGCTCAATGACGCACCCAAATAGAATGCCTCTTTCATACACAAAGTAACATTTCATAGTCTGAACTACTCTAGTTAGTCAAAAAGGTAGGGCCTCCACTGTTTTGACATAGTCAAAATCATAGATATTCGATTCAATGCCTCAAGATCTACAAATTTTTAAGCTTTACCGAAAAATATGTAAATTCTAAGAAAACCAGATAAGATAGTGTATAGGCACAAATTTATTAGTCTAATTGGAGAGGACTCTAAGTGCAATACACTTGGTAAGATACCAATAAAGAAGACAGATATGCCACGAATCAGAATTAACAAAATTACAAGAAGATTATGGGGAAAAAAATTGACAATAGAATTAATTAAACTATAAACAGAGATGGGAAAAGAAAGATAAAATGCAGCTTGTCTGATGAGAATCTTGCTAGAATTATTACATTCCAACAAACAAATCACAGACAGAGAGAAACCATAAAATAACTGATAGATTGACAACATACCCCGAAGCTCAAATCGATGGGAATCTAGGTTGCTTCTGCGAAATCGCCAATTTTGAAGTTGGCTTCAGCTGCACATTTTAGTTTCTTGCGATCTTCTATTATTCTTCGAGTATAAAATAGCAGGAGTGTTTTGCACTGATGTCCTTCTATTTTATCGTTTTCGCACTAGCATTTCTTCTCGAATTTCTATCATTACCCGTACCTCCAAAGTTTCTTAACAATGCCCCCCATTTGTTAAAGAAAATTACCGTAGTATTAGTTGTGTTTTTTTTTTTTTTTTTTTTTTGGAAATAAACTCACACTGTGATTAGTGTTAAATCTGGGCACAACTCTCGCAAAGTTAATAAATTAAAACGAAAAACGAACTTAAATGATATGCATAACTTATAAGTAATTACATATATATAAAGTTTATCTTACAATCCTCTGTTATATAATAATAATAATAATGTGCTACTAAAAAGAATAATGTGCAGGTTGGGTGTTGTTTATGTGAATATGTGCTACTAAAATAAGTGATTTGGTTATTAGAGGAAGATTCTACTCATCATCACCATTATTTCAAAATTACAAAAAAATTACTTGTAGAATTTGATAGATTGGAGAAATTTTTTATTTCCTTAATGGGTTATTCTAAGAAGCTCACTCACAACCTAAATTTTTAGTTACACACTAATCATTAATATAAGAAACTTACAGTTTTTGACTATATACTATTCTTTTTATAAGCAATATTTTTGGTTAACTGTTACAACGAGGTCTATAGAACTTTGACAACTTTCACTTTCTCTTTTTGTAAAGTGTGTAAAACACCTCTTTGTTAAATACACAAATTTCATTTTTATATGGGTGACTGAGGTGAGGTAATGCCTCCATTCTAGACATACAAGGTCTTGATTAATACAATATTCAGCTCCTACCCCCAAAACTCAAAATAAATAAATAAATAAATAATAATAATAATTGTAGTTTGTTGTTATTATTATTAGAGATGTGCTATTTTAGCTGACCACTTGGGTTGCGTTCATGATCCAAGTTAATATATCATCACAAGACTTTCATGTCTCACACTAAAGAATCTAAAAATTGATGCACTATTGAATGAAATACGCTTAAATGGTGGGTTATAAATTTGATTGTTTAATATTAAAATCGTCATAAGAACACTAGTTAAAGGCCCTGACACTACCACGTGGACGTAGAACCTATATGAAGATTGGTTTGATTTAAAGGTATAATACCTACCATACCAGTGGAAGCAGATGAGTGTTTCTGAATTTTCTCCCTCTCTTAATGTGTTTCCTTTGTTTTTTTAAATTGTTTCCTTATATTCTACCTATATAATTTTTTAATTTACTTCATTCCAAAAACATATTTCTTTGTATTTATAACAATCTATATCTCTCTATATATTTTTATATATATCCCTTAATATTAATTTATATATATACAATGTGCCCCTCCTGACAACAAATTTTGGCTCCCCTGGATGAGAGGATGAACATGAATGGAATATGCAAATGTTGGGGTAATAGGTAGAATTCAGATGTTTTGATAGATACCAAGATAAGAATAAAATACAACAGAAAGTAAGGATAAAATTGCAAATCAAAAAATTAGAGACAGAAAAAAACCATGGACGATGGCATGCGGTTTTAGTACAGGGAACTGGGACGGTATCTAGTTTTTGAATATATTTTATATTTTATAATATAAATTAGCTCGAATAAACCAGCAATCTGCCGTTGTAAAATTTGTTGTCACAAAAATTTCCTATAGGTTTTTTTTTATTTTATATATATTGTCACCAATTTTTATGTGAATTGTTTTAAACAAACCTAATATAATAATATATTGAACTACTATAACATTCTAATAATAAAAAGAGATGGTGGGTGCTACATCTCTCACAATTTTTTTATACTTAATGATGAGCTAATTTAAAATGGATATTAGTCAGAGACAAATAAGATAAGATAAGATATTCAAAGGTTTGAAATCAAATTAAAGATACGGCTGATATTCAAATTCAAAGTACGGGAGAATATCTTCGAATCTCCAATAGACTAGGAGAATTGTTATATATAAATACGAAACCTGACTACTGAACAGGTATGAGACAATTGAATACATTAAATTACTGCCATTTTTCAGAGGTCACTGATTTGATCGGCAGAGCTCTTGGCAGGCACCACACCAGCGTACATTAAGATTCATCTCTTTTCTTTGCAAGGAAAGAGTGTCATTCCGAGCCGTGCTAATTTGCCGCATGTGGGAATGATTAGTTTCTTGAAAAAATATGACTCAAGCTGGGACGCACTGTTCCAAATTAAATTAGGAAAATTGTTAGTTTTATGTTGGATATTTGACTGTATCAACAAGTTGATGTGACCCAACAGACATGCAAATGGGAGCAAAATGTATTCAAATTCCCTTTGGGCCGTTTGACTATTTTTTACTATCATAATGTCAAATTGAGAACACGATCCGGGAACACGACTCCGAGCAACACATTACTCAAAGGGGCACAGCTCGAACAACTAAGGCTGGGGGCATATTGACTCGAGATGAGAGCCAATTACAACTCCAGTGAGTTTTTGAGTGAACCAAGTTATATGGCCTACTATTGAGACCGTAAAAATAATTTTTGTATACTATAATTATGATCCCACGTAAACCACGAGACACGTGCTCTCATGGTCTAACCAATACACAAATATTATGATATATATATATATATATATATAAAGTAATATCACTAAAATCAGTAACTTAACTTGCAATTTGTCCTACATATATGATTTTTTGTGAATAAATATACACGATTTGGATGATCTTTAATAATTGCATGCCGATAAAGTTGGTGTGAAATTGCATGTTAAATGTCAAAATCATGAACATTGAGTCGTTTTTGCTCATTTATTTGTGCATGACATGCTAATTATCGCAATGTGCTAAAAAAATGTTCGGTGATATGATTCACATATTCTATTATAAGATATGGAAGGAAATTAATGCAAAATGAATAGCAATATGTTTCTTTGCATAGTATTTTGGCCATGAAGGATCATGCCCACCTGGTTGAAATTACAAATCATTATCACTATATATATATTTATATAGAGAGAGAGAAAGCTGTAACCAGCAAATATTTGGGGAGATGAGCTCCAATGACAATTTAAAAAATAAAATAAAATAAAATAAAATAAAATTCTTAACTCCCCGTGTCTAAAATAAATGTTGTATACTCTCGTAACTTTGATTTTATTGTTTGTTGTTTAACAATAACAACCCAATAACAATTAATATAACATGCGTACGAATTTACTATTGGGGAAACGGAAGTTTTAAAACTTTATGAGGGATTTTCAAATAAAGATCTTGATTCATGTGTAGAGACAAATTTTACGCATAAAGAATATGATGAGCTTCAATTAAAGATAGAAAACTTACCTCTCCTCTAAAGTGAATATTTTCACTTATTGTAGATCCCTTTGCTAGATGCCTCTTCCTTAGATCTCCATCCTGTTGGTAATTATCTTACTGTAAGTGCAAAATTTCGCTCAACCAATAATGATTGAGAAAAATAAAACAACTCACTCAAAAACAATAAAAATAAATAAGAACAGTGTATAGAGAAGCGTAGAATTGCTTGGCCCTTTTCATTGGAGGTCTGGGCCTCTATTTATACACAAAAATTGGTAGAATTAAGGTGGGACTCGCGTTGCTTGTCCTCCAATTCTTCCCATACATGACTTTCTTTATAAATAGAGTTCTTTCTATTGTATAATATTTCCTACGCAGAACTTGCCTTGTATAGAACTTCCTATCAAAGAATTCTCCTTTTATGATAAATCCTTCTACCGATAGGACTTGTTCAATCTTGGAAAACTGGGCTGAATATATCTTGAACTAGTTGGGCTTGAATAACGGGCCGGATGTTTAATGTTAACATGTTGGGCTGTTAATCTCTTGATTCGAGCTTCAACAGGGCTGACGGTCAAATAACAATAGTATTGGGCTTGTGAACAGTGATCTTGGACTAGTATCAAACTCAATTTGGGTTTGAGCGAGGTGGGCTTCATAAACTCATCAAGGATAAGTTTATATTTATGGTGACGTGGATTATTCTCATTGGAGGGAGATTTTTCCCTCCACACTTACCTTTAGAAATCACCAATAAGCCTACATGAATGACCTTGGAGAGCTAAGCTTGTGGGAGCCTCCATCAGATGAGAACACTAATCCTAAAATTCTAGAGAGAGAAAAACTTTTCTTGTTTTCCAAAAATATTGCACAAAGGTGTAACCTAAAATACACGTGAACCCATTTATATATACGCAAAATAAAAATAATAATTGAAGACAATATATTTTTCTTAATCTCTAAAATTATCGTGATATCTCAAATCTAATAGGTCTCCAATATTAAGTTGGACTATGAGTGAGAATTCTTTGTGCTTATTATTTTCTTGGCTACAATGAATTAATAATTAGCCTGATCCGTTATACCATGGATCCAATTCAATTAATTCATAAATTAATTTCTACTCCACTAAAAGAAATTAATTGAACTCCAATTAAATAATAAATAACCTATAAGTCAATGTTGCATTTTGACCCCTCTATGCATAATTAGTTATCGGATAAATAAAGTCATCAATCCGACTACTAAATTAATATCTTTATTTTGGTACCTTTGATTATTTCCAACTTGATCACAGTAAAACATTTGTTTGATAAAAATAATAATTTAAATAAATAAATATATAAAAAATTATTTTATCTAAAAACACACAAAGGCCTTCGAATCTACTTTGTGATCAACCATAATCAATACAAAATAAATACAAATAGCAATGATGCAAATATTGAAAATATAACCCTCTAACTATTAATTACATAATTACCCAAAGTATTGGTCTATGGATTCCAAATTTCCGCCGAACAAATCAAAGTAATTATTAATTAATAAAAGAGTCTACATTTCTCTTATACTTAAGAGTCAAATGCCATGACAGTGATACCTGGAGGAAGATTATATTATGAACCACATACCCAGTAGCCAAATAATATTAGAGGAGATGGTTGGCATATCAGATATACCCCATATAGA